CTATTTAACAGGAAATAGGATTGGATATTAAATGTTAGGGGTATTAAATTGATTGCATTAATTCAAGTAGTAGACTAGGCAGCTACTATAGAAACTAAACACCTAAGAACCTTTTTACAAATAATGAGCATTAAAAAAAAGATTTAAGAGAACTCAAAGTGACCAAGGTGTTCTTCAGTAAGCTAATGGAAATGGATAAGCTAATTGCAATACATCCTTACAAGGAGACACTATTCAACAATTTAAAAGGAATAAACTACCAAGTTACTCAAAGATGTGGATGTGTATTTATAAGTGAAAGAAGCCTGTCTTAAAAGACTAACAAAATACATGATTTTATTTATATAGAATTCTGGAAAAGACATAAATAGCAAGAGAATACACCAATTAATGGGAGCCATGGTTTTGGGAGAAGTGAAGTACTGAATAAAGGAAGCACAGATTTATTTCTAAGGATGATGGAATAATTCTGTAATACTATTATGATGCACACATAGCACTATGCATTTATCAAAATCCATAGAACTTTACAACATAACAGAGTGAACTTTAATGTATACAAAGTTTTTAAAAAATCATTTAGGACATGATGAGATGACAAGATGGAATGCAGAATGTGACCCCCCAAAAAGTAACTCCATTATAATTCTATAAAACAACCACACTGAAATAAGTGGGAAAGAAAGTTACTAACCTAAGTAACATTGGAAATGGATGAAATCTGTAAGACTAAAAGCAAAAGGAAGTATAATACACAGTGGTCTCTAGTTGAAGAAGCAGAATCTCATGGGTATGGATTAACACTTCTGCAGCTGCTATTCATGTGTTGGGGTACAGAGGACAAGATCCCAAAACAGGATGCTTTGACATGCTGAGTGCTTTAAATAAAAAATTTTTAAAAAAATGAAAGTCTTCATAAATAGGCCTCAGAACCAAGGTCTCTCCCTGACCTTCTTCCATTTCCCCCCCCCCATATCATCTCCTTTCTTTCCTGAAGTACTAAGAGGGGTTTATTAGAAGTTCCTTTATCTGATGAAGGGAAATGTTGTGCATATGACTAGTTGAATCCTAAGTAACAGGTGATAAATGAATTTGCCAAAACAGTTGCGAATTAAGAAAGGCAGATTTATTAAAGCCAAGATACATTGCAAGAGAACAACAGGCAGTACAATAGAAGAGACCCTGACTACAAAGAGGAAAGGGTTAGAGGAAAGTTTTAAAGGGCTGTTCTGGGGAGTTTTCATGTGGCATCGAGGGGTCTGGAGAGGGAGGTTAGTTATGTGTTGTGTGGGTTGTACATGCTGTGGGGATCTACAAGATGGCTGATTGACTGTGGTGTTCTTTTTCTTAAGATTGGGTTAATTTACAGCAATAGTTAACTGCTTTTCCATTTACAGTTATCAACTAAAGGTTAGTTTACAATGATTTACAGTGCTCAGCAAGCATTTATGGCTCTCACTGTGGTCGGTAAGTTCTTTGCAACACCTGTCAGTCGTACCCGAGACCTTTTTCCTCAGTATAATTCACTCAATTGTTGTTGGCATATTTGGACCTCATAGTTCTCCATAGGGAGTGCCTCCAGAAAAAAAAAAGGAAATTGTCTTAAAACTTTTTTTCTAGAAACTTCATCAAATAACCAAGAAAGATTAACTATAGAAGAAAAGAGATTAAAGTCAGTCATCACCAAACCCAAATAGACTTTTTATCTTTTCTTCTGAGGGCAGATTTGAGAGATTACCTGGGAAGCTTTATCTGCATAATAAGACAACCTTTGTTCACAATAAACTTTTATTCCTCAGCTTCCCACTTCTGCCCCAGAATTTAGATAAACTTTGTCCCAGGCCATTGTTCTTCAGATTTCTTTCTTTCCCCTGAAAATCATTTACTATACTTCATAATCACCTACATTTCACCCATTTTCTTCCCTTCTGTCAAGAGAGTATATAAGCCTCAACCATACAGGCTTTCTTTCAGATTCATATTTTATCTGGCCCCCATGTTTATGAGCATTAATAAATTTGTATACCTTTACTCATATTAATCTATTGTCAGTCATTTCAGCAAACCTTCAAAGAGGGTGAAAGTGAGGCTTTCCTTCTATACCTATACATACATGCTGGAATTGAATAATTAAGTAAGTGGACTGAAGATGCTGGGAGCCGGTTTCTCACTGTTAGAGTGGAAGGTTACAGACACAGAGTTGAAAAGTATGGAATGATTCATGGATTAGAGTTGGAGACATCAGCATGAAGTCATTTCAATATGATATAAAGATAGACAAATATGAATATTTGTGTTATTTGTGTATGCACAGGTTGCTGTGCAGATATATATATTTTTTGCTCTGAAAATTGAGTGCCTAGAAGCAATGACAACATAGTAGCAACAAGTACATTAATTCATGTAAACCTAAATATTTTAAAAATTAACTTACCTGACAAAATCAGTACAGAAAATATTGAGGTTCAAAATTACTAAAATTTCAATGAGAAAATAAACCTGAGACTCCCATTAATTAAAATGTTGTTCAGGTATTATATTTAATACTGAACTAATATCAAGGAAAAAACACAAGCAATTTCAAACATTTTCAAATATTAAATTTAAATGTATATGTACTTTTTGCCACAAAAAATAATGATAATACGATCATTAAAATAGTTTCAAATATAAATATGCATAACATGATCAAAACTTGATAGAGGTTAAATAAAATTTTAAGCTAGAGGAAAAAAAGTACTGATGTAAAATATCTGACTGTCAAAGAACACATTCATGTGTTTTACAATTTTTGATGTCAAGTACAAAAACATACATTTAAATTCCATTGGATATTTAAAGAGGTGATATAACAATTTACTTTAAACTGACTATATTTATGACACTGTATATCCTAAAAATGCTTGCTCAAGAATTATGTTAATTAATTAATTAATTTATTTTTTCATTGGAGTCTCACTGTGTCGCCCAGGCTGGAGTGCAATGGCATGCTCACAGCCACCGCAGCTTCGACTTGATAGGTTCAATTAATCCTTCCGTCTCAGTTTTCCAAGGAGCTGGAACCACAGGTGGACACCACCACGCCCAGCTAATTTTTGGATTTATTGGAGGAGATCAAATTCCACTGGGAAGAACCTCAGTCTGGTCTTGAACCTGTGGGCTCAGGCAATCCTCTCGCCTCAGCCTCTTAAAGTGAGGGGATTACAGGCATGAGTCACCACGCTCAACTTTTATGTAAATTTATAACAAAAATTCTAGATATCAACATGGAAATTCTTGAGTACAAGAGTACCAATAATTGCAAACCACTGCAATCAAGCAAATATCACAATAAAGCAAGTCACACTTTTTTTTTGGTTTTCTAATGCATATAAAAGTTATGTGTATATTATACTGTAGTCTATTAAGTGTTCAATAGCATGATGTCTAAGAAAAGTACTTGCTGTGGAGGAACAGGAGGCCTGATTAGGCCTGCATAAATTGGGTGAATTGGGTAAACTATTTTGAGGAAGGAAATCTCAGAATGAGATTACAAGAACTGTAAAAGCTAAATAGCCAGCTGAAAAGTATTTGCTGCTAGTTCCATGACAAAGAGCAGTCAACTGTTGCTGTTAAAACCACATGATGGACCAGCACATTGTGAACCTCCAGCTGGAACAAAAGAGGCTTATCATCAAGGTCAAACATCAACCTATTAGAACTACCTTATTTGCATGGTAAGAACTCAAATGCATTATGGGAATCCTAAAGCTCACCTTAACCTAAGAGGAGGTCAAATTTCACTGAGAAGAACCTCAGGTCACTGCCTTTTTGCAAGTAGGTAGTAAATGCTTTTGCTGTTGTTCTGCCTTTTGTGCCCTTCACAACATATCTTCCCTTTAATAAGTTGGCCTTTCCTAATTCACAGCTATTTGGTGAATACTTTCACACACCCCCTCCCCACAACTCTGGACATAGCTTACCCAGCTTGCCATGGCACATACTTTAATTAAAAAAGACTTTATTGTTAAAAAAAAAAAGCTCATAAGCTAGGCACACGATGTTGGAAAAAACGGTGCTGATAGACGTGTTCAAGGAGGGCTTTTACAAATCTTCAATTTTAAAACATATATCTGCAGAACACAATAAAGCAAAATGCAATAAAGTGAGCTATACTTATGTATAAGTTTTTTACTTCTGTATTTTAGAGAGTAAATTGACAGAAATCTGATGGCTACTCTTCTAAACAGACTCGTACTTCAAAGATTGTATTGCCTACAAGTATGCCTGGAGAGCTGAATGACTCAGGGAGAATATTTCATGTGAGGGTAACATTTTTACCGTAATTAGAAACCCTGAAGTGAGTGAGGCTGAAAACCTGACTCTAGGTACTAACCAACCATCACCGTCCTCTCAATCAATTCACTCTACACAAGATCTGTGTTGTTTAGGAGGTGAACAGATGTTCATTCCCATTTGACCTAGGTTTCCAAGAAGCTTAGGAAATCATAGGCAGAAGCCAACAAGACCATGCTTATGGGCTTTGGAGGGAATAAAGTGGGGAATGGATAAGAATATAGGCACCACACACATGTGAGACAACTGAAAGTTGAAGGGAGGAAATGAAAAAGCAGTATATTCAGGCACAGTGATACCAGGCCTATTTGTCAATAGATGTTTATCTACAGATAGAGCCCAGGATTGTACTACAGTAGAATTTGTTGCCTTTTCTGGGATCCTTTGGATTTTTAGCCCAGGCATTACAAGGTTGTCCATATTTTACTTTATGCCTCAGTTGAGGTCATTTATCCAGCTCTTTATCCTGAGAGTATCATGGTACATGCATTCTCGGTGTAGAGATCACTGGATGGTGGGTTTTGGGGAGAGTGTGTTTCCTTGCATAACAAAAGGTTGCTTCATACATAGGTTTATCATATAATTTATTGTTTAAACAAGGGTATTTTTGAGAGTGAAAGAAAGTGCTGTTAATAATGATGCTGAGGAAAACAGGTGTAAATCATGAATATCTGAGGCAAACCAGAAAATGTGTTTACTTTACTCAAAGACATGTTCTTAAGATGATCATTTTTTATTGAGTGATGCTCTTAATCCCTACCTAACCCATAAAAATGGAACTTTGCTGTATTTCACTTCAAATACCATTAAATCTCAAGACTTTACTGTTTAATATTTTTCAGGCTTTTTTCTAGAAGTTTTAAAGGAATTAGGAAAAGGGAAATTCATTATTTCTGCCCCCAGATTATCATATCTGATTGGGGAAGAAAGGCATGAGCATGCACACACAAAGGGACACATATATATCAATCAAATGTGAGATAGAAAGGGTTTAGGAATAACTCTTGTGATTCAGATTCAAACCTGTGGCAACACAGAGTTTCTCATTCCCTTTTCTCCTCAAACGGCCTAGTGTAGAGTTTTGCTTGTATCAGAAACATGATCAGAGTTTACAGACTTAATGACAGTCTGTGACCTCTTGGGGTAATTCAGAGCAATTCCCTCCTGCAGGAGAACAAGGTAACAATTCCCTGTCGGACTGGCCGAGTCTTAACGCTATAGATGATGGGGTTAAGCACAGGCGGCACGAAGAGGTAGATGCTAGACATCACTGTGTGGACCATGGGGGAAGCATGCTTGGCAGCACGGTGCATCACAGATACACCAATCATAGGCACATAGTATATCAGCACTGCACAAATATGTGACGCACATGTATTGAGGACCTTCCACCGTCCCTCCCCAGAAGCAATGCCCAGCACTGTGTAAAGAATCAACACATAAGAGACCACAATGAGCAATGAGTCTAGCCCAAAAGTAGCTAGAACAATGGCCAAACCCAGGATGCTGTTGAGTTTAGTATCCCCACAAGGCAGCTGGATCAGATCTGAGTGGAGGCAGTAGGAGTGAGAGAGAATGTTAATGTGGCAATAGGGAAGTTGTCTCAAAAGGACTGGAAGTGGGGCCATGAGTGCCATACTCTTCAGTGTGATACCTAGACCCATGCAGATGATACGGGGCAGAGTCAGGATGGCTGTATAGCGCAGTGGGTTGTAGATGGCTACAAAGCGGTCATAACTCATGGCCAATAGGACTCCTGACTCCATGCAGGAGAAGGTGTGAATGAAGAACATCTGGGCCAGGCAGCCATCAAAGTCAACCCTGCGGGCATCAAACCAAAGAATGCCTAAAACAGTAGGCACTGTAGACACAGAAACACCCACCTCAGTTATGGCTAACATGGAGAGGAAGAGGTACATGGGTTCATGTAGGGCAGGGTCTGCCTGCACTGCTGCCATGATTAGGCTGTTGCCCACAATGGCCACGATGTACATGGTGAAGAAAAGAATGGAGATCCAGCCATGTTGGGCCTCCAATCCAGGGATGCCAGTCAGAAACACGGATAAGGAGTTGAGACTTTCATTGCTGTCTGCTCCCATGTCACCAATAGCACAGATAAGTTTTCACCTGCCATTTGGAAAAAAATGAAGTTAGCTCCCTCTGTTGTGTTTTCTGTCTTAGCAGCCCATCTCAAAAACTGAAAAAAGGAGATGAGGGAGATGGCAGAAGTTGGAGTCATCTACATCATTCTGAATACAAATGTAACAGATATTTTCTTCTTTTTTCCTGTTTCATTAAGCTCCATAATTGAAAAATGTTACATACAAAGAGGATATTTCAGACTACTCATTTAAAAAAAAATGTATTTGCAATGTTCAAATACTTTTTACCGATATATAATTTTGCACATATTTATGAGGTATATATGATATTATTTTGTGTGAATAGAATGTGTAATGATCAAGTCAAGGTATTTAAGACATCCATCATTTGAGAATTTATCATTTGCATGTGTTGGGAACATTTTAAGTCCTCTCTTCTGCTATTTTAAAATATACAGTTCATTGTTGCTAACTATAGTCACCCTATCGCTATCGAACATTAGAGCTAATTTTTCTTTCAAAGTATATGTTTGTACCCATTATTCAATCTCTCCCACCTTTCCACACATACCTCCTGCCCAGCATCTGATGGCCATCATTCTATACCTCTATGAGATTATCTTTTATCTTTTTCAGTTCTTACATATGAGTAAGAATATGCAATCTTGTGAGAAACACAATAGCTTAAAATTAAGAGTAGAAACTTTGTAATAAATCAGACCTGGGTCAAATTTCATATTCAGCCAGTTGTTATATGTGTGATATGGGCAACTTATTTATACTCTGGTCCAAAGTTTTGTTTTGTTTGTTTTAGTTTTTTAACTTGCACAATAAATATAATAACACTATTCTGTTTGTGTATAAGAAAAAGAAATGAGAAAATTAATATTGTATGTTCAGTTTTTTAGAGTTCTGTGAACTGTTTCTTGAAGACTTTAGTTTGAACTCCAAAAGAGTTTAACCTTGAACAAGTAACTTAACCTTTCTAAGCCTCAGTGTCTCTTGCCTGTAAAGTGGGAATAAAAACACTCCTGTCTTGTAGGATTTTTGTAAGAATAAAAATGGTATTGCATGCTATACTGAATAAATATAAACTATTTTTTTCTTGGAGACACACTAAGATGCAAAGAGGAAGAACAACTTTGACTAACAGCTTTAGAGACAATTTATGCAAAGTCTAAATTCTAATTTAGTTCCACAAGCTTCTCTTACAGTAATGTTTTCAATTTCACTATGGAGATGAGAGTAAATACCAGTATGATCTAAGTTGGAGTCATCAGAAGGAATTGAGTTTTAGTTTTGGCAGTGTGGTAAAGTGTTATCTCATTGTATCCCCACTTCATCCCTGGTGGGGAAAATGTTTTGAAACAAAGTACTACTGTGGTTTTAAAAAGCTGAAAAGGGAGATATAGAAATACCGGTGATGAGGGATATGAACATTCCAAGAAAAAATTATGTTAATACATAAGTTATCTCTGAGTTAGTAACAGAGTTCAGAAAAGCTATCAAAAATTTAGCTGCTTCAAAAATAGCTGGGCATGATGGCTCAAGCCTGTAATCTCAGCACTTCGGGAGGCAGAAGTGAGAGAATTGCCAGAGCTCATGGGTCTGAGACCAGCCTAAGCAACATGGCAAGACCTCGTTGCTACAATAAATTTTAAAAAAATTTAGCTGGGCATGATAGCACATGCCTATAGTTGTAGCTGCTTGAAAGACTGAAGTGGAAGGATTTTGAGTCCAGCAGATTAAGGCTGTGGTGGCTATGAGCATGCCACTGCACTCCAGCCTGGGTGATAGAGTGAGACTCTGACTCGAAAAAAAGAAAAAAAAAGATACAAAAATAGCAGAATTAAGGAAGAATCTATGGAGAAATAAATGACACAGAGGGTTAAAAAAAAATTTGCCAGTGGCCAATAAATCAGAAGGAAATAGCTAAACTCCAGTTAGAAGGTGAAAATAATGACATGATGTAATGCAAGATAACATAATGGAACATAATTATGTAATGTCACATAGTAAATTCAGTTCAGACAATTAACTTTTTAAAAGAAACTATTATAGTGAATTAGGGAGGTACTGTTACAACTGGTGTAAAAGCCAAATTACCTCCAAACATCAGTTCACTCAACATATTGTATGCATGAATCACTGATTCTGCAAAAATTCTTTATTCTGTGATTACCACTGCTGACGTGAAATGGTCATACATCGGAAGAGTTTAATACGAATGCTCTGCTGAAATGGATGAACAGTTAGGGAAATGTACAGCCAAGGGAATTCAAAGACCTATGACCATGGAGACAAGTACAGTGTAATCATGAGAATGATTCCAGAGCCTGCATTCTCTTACTTTCGCGACTCTTCATGCTGAAACTCCCTGCATTCTACCTCTGTGCTTCCCTCAAAATAAACAACTTTCCTGACACATGAAATATGCTTCTTTGTGCCTCTTACCCATATATTTCTCTTGGGTCTACCTTAGATAAGTGATTTTCAATTTTTACTGGACATTGCAGTCACCTTGAGGAACTTAAAAATCCCAGTGCTCAGATCACACCCCATACCAATTAAATTAAAATGTTTTAGATGTAATATCCAGTTATCAATGTGTTTTAAAACTCCTGAGTTGAGCCTGATGTTGAGAAGCACTCTAGACCCATTTTTTAACACACTTGTCCCTTTATAGTGATAAGTGATAGTCTTTTAGACTAAAATAAAACTTGCAAACGCTTCGCAAGTCTTTTTCCTCTTTGTTTTTCAGCCAACTTTCCACTTTTACCTGCAAATTAAGCATTTCTTTGTGTCCCATTATCTGCTAGACTCTTCAGCATCTTGAAGCTCTAAATAGACGGATTTGCTCATATTACTCCGGGGAGGTGCACACTGATGTAGCCTAGGTTTGGAGCCAGTGTTACATATCACCTCTCTGGAGGTGCACCTTAGAGGGCTTAATAGAAATATTTTGAGTATTCACTTAATCATTTATTTTGAAAATCTTGACCCACCACACCTGGGGATGCTTGCCACTGGAAAACCTCATCTTTGGCTAGAGGTATAAATGAAGTCTTTGAAGCATCAGCCATGGTCCCTGTGAGGAGGAACATGCAGGATAGGAAAGGGGAAAGGCAATGCCAAGAAGACCATAGTTTCAAGTAATTCACTCAATCTTTGAGTGGTACAAATGATAACCAGAAGGGCATCTGGCTCAGTATCAACCTGCCTCATTTGAGTCTCATACCAACCATATCAAGTGACTTGCCTGACACCAGAAAGTGACTGATCTAAAACTAGAATCCAGTTATGTTTACTGTAAGTCTCATGGTCTTCCCTATGAAACCCAGAAGCTAGCCTTCTGAAGCTAAAGCCACCTAAGTGAGAAAAATGAGAAGATGCTAAGGAGATTAGTAATTTTTATTTTCCCAAACAGAGAAAAAGATTGAATAACAGAGAGATTTTTTTAGCCTTCTATGCAAACTGGGGGTCAGGGGGTAGAGAACAGTAGTTAAGTGACCTTTATAATGACTCCTTTTCAAAAGTCCATAGATTCAGTGATCAACTTGGCAGTCTCTTTAGAACCCGAAACCGGTGTCCAATTTTGAACTCACTGAGAGAATCTCCTCCATGACATATTTATCAAATTGTTGCCCACGTTCAGCTTCAGTGTTCCCAATGATGGGGAGTTCATTGCATCCTGAAACCACTATTCTGGTCAGATTTCGCAGACTTATAATGTGCTTCCTCACGTAGGGTTTCAACCTACTTTTTCCACAGATAGATAATGTTGCAGATACAAAAAATAATCTTATTTAGGTACAACCTGAATATTATTTATTTAGGTATAACCTGAATACTATTATTCTCTTGTGGAACACTTATGTTCCTTTATAAGCATGTACGCACTTGTGTAATTATTTGTTTAATGTCTGTATCCCCTACTTGATTGTAAGTCTCATCAATGATAGGGTGATGCTGACTACCTTTTGTTTGTTTGTTTTGCTACTAAATATCCAAAGCTAGCACAAAGTCAAATACATAACAGATGTTTAATAAATATCTTAACAAGATGAACAAAAAACAATAAATAAATAGTACCTGAAATTTCAATTATGGTATCTCATAATTTCCTTTCTTCATGTTACTGTCATAAATTCCTTTAGCTATTTCCCAAAGTGTTTAACTTTTAATTTCCACACCACACAAGTCCTCCTGTCAGTGACTGATGGATAGTTAAGTTTAATATAAGCCAATAGTAAAATATGTAGCGTGCAAAAAATTACAACTTTTCCTAATGCTATTTAAACAGATATGATAACTTTCTCATCTGTGAATTTGCAATATTTTGTAAAGACTTTTACTATTTTACTAAAATTACATTTATACATCTGTCCCTCCATCAGACTTTGAGATCTTTTCGGATCAGACTTGCACCTGGTTCATTCTTGTCTCCCCAATGCATCATGTGCTTCTGACACGCAGACATGCTCAAAAAAATCATTAATGAGTACAAGATGAACATACTGTTCAGATTATACCTGGTGCACATTCTGTTCTGAGTTCCATATTCTGAATAGGAGTCAAACTAATTACAACACACATAAAATGTAAAGGTAATTAAGTCATATTAAGAACATTGAAAAATGAGTGATGCTTCATTTTGACTAGAGACTGCAGGAGAGATGGTGGGAATGGGTATGAGAGGTGGAGAGTGATAGGTGCTGGTCATAGGGAAACAATCTGAGTTCATGTAAAAAAATATTTTTCTAAAATCCAAAGCTGCACAATAAAATAATAAGCTTCTGGGCAGTGGAGATGATCAAGCAAAGACTGGATAACTCTTAAAGGAAATGCTAAAAAGAGAATGCCAGAACCTGCTGAATTGGAATTAAAGGCCCTTTCAAATCTCCTGCTGCCCTTAGGCCTGAGGTTCCAGACTGGCGAGGTCTCTGGTCTTCTGCTACAGACTAGCATGACTGTGGATTTGTGTGAGACAGAACAGAAGCAAGTTCTCATCCTTGGTTGTGTGATAATCCATATGTCTTTCACTGCTAGAACAGTCTCTGGCAGACCTATCTGAAAGTGGCAAGGAGACTACAGGGGTATTTGAATGAATAGTGCTCTTTCTATAGAAAACTTACATGAAAAAGAGATTTGGGATTTTTAAATTGTGGCCAACTATGCAAACACACACAGACATTAACAGAGACTCACTCAAAGATACAGAGACATGACAAGATAATCTGAAAGATCTACACAGAAACACAGAAGGGCAGATAGAAACATACTCCTGTTCACATACGTATAAGACATAGACAGATTCAAACTCACCTGACAGAGTTTTGTGAAACAAAGTTAAGATTGGCAGACAGAGGATCAGAGCTCACAAAGCCTCCAGAATGAGCCTCAGGCAGGCACTAGCCAAGAGAAGAGGCAGATTTTGTGTCTCTAGGTGACAGTTCCCAGAGGCCAGGGCCTCTGGAGTCTTGCTTTGCCTTAGTGCGATGTTGTGTTGGTGATGGAGAAAGAAGAGGGGTTAGATTTCACCAGGAATAGAAAGATAAGAAAAGAAAGAAAGACAGAAACAGACAAAAAAACAAAAAACAAAAAACCTTTCCTTAGAGATACCTCCCTCACACCATAGAGAAAACAAAATTTCTCCAAACTCCATAGTAACACTTTCCAACAGCTATCTTGTCTCAAAACTGGAACTGTATACCCAGAACCCAGAGTCTAGACATCTGAGTTACATTTTTTAAAAAAAGATACTCGAGTTCTGATCTTAAAACCCATAACTCAGGAAAGGCCTAAAGCTTAGATTCCAGTAAGCAAATTCCAAAGCTCAGATACCAGACATGGGAGCCCAATGACAACCACAGGATTTAAGCAATGAAGGATATGACTTTGGCTGCCTCTATCCACTTTTGCCTTCTGTTTTCTACTCAATTTCTATTCCTATTACCATCTCCTTAACCCTCTGCCAAGTTCCACAATTTGGGGTCTCCTCCAGAAGAAATATTCTAGGATATTGCAGGCACATAGGATTCAAATCAAACAGATCTAAGTTTAAGTCTTGGCCTTGCCATCTACTAGGTTCGTAATTTTAGAAGATTAATTTATTTCAACCTATAGCTTGGTTTGTAAAAAAGGATAATACCTCTCTACAGAAGATTGAGACAAGGGAGAAGAAAGTAATAGGTATGTTTTTTAATTGAATGCATCAAACATGATAATTATCTTTATTATAAAATTCCCCAAATTAATTATTTTTCCAACACCTTGACTTTCCATTCAATATTTCATTTGACTTCTTCTTCATTTCAATTTCAGGGTGAGAGTATATTGAAAGAAGAAATGGCAGGAGGGTTCTCTTCCTTTTCCATCAAGGGAAGGGAGGGGGTGCAGGGAGGCAAATAGAAGATGGGCATGGATAAAATGCTTTCTTTCTTGTGTGGTACTCTGAAGTGTCAGAAGATAGTCTGAGAAGAACACTTTCCGTTTTCTATTATTTTTATAAAATTGGTTGGATCCAAAATAATGGATTGGGAACCAGAAGATGAAATTCAGAAGAAAGCAAACCAAGCCTTGTGAATAAGGTTACAGAATCATAAACATAGAAGGAAACTTAAATGTTGCCTCAGATGGGGCATACGTCTCTGGTAAGGAGGGGCAGGGCTTTGAGAAGTCATGGAGTAAAGTGATTCTTACTATGTCACTAAACACAGCATGAAAAGGAACAGACATCAGTTTGAGTTCCATTTATTCATTTATTTAATTAGTCACTTGGTTGTTCATATAATTTACATGTACGAGTGTGCTAGATTCTGTTCTGGTTGAAAACTTTTAGCTTTGACTGCCATTATTTCTCTCTCTCTCTCTCTCTCTCTCTCTCTCTCTCTCTCTCTCGACCCTTTAAAAGATCTTTTTCAAGACTCAATTTCTGCCTCCATGAAGTGAAGGTTAGGTCAAGAAAAACCCTAAATACTCATTTAATCTGACAGTAATAACATAAAACATAACATCTATGCAAAACTCAACACAAAGGATTTATTTGCTAAAAGACTTCTGTAGGGAAATTATGAGGGACTCTTCCCCCAGAAAGCTTAAATATAGATAAAAATACGTCTGTGGAGTGTAAATAAACTTTCCACAATAAAGCAAAGCAAGGACATGCATAATCTGCAAGTGAATGTTTGGTAGATGCAAATAAAACCATATTAAATATTTCCCATCTATAGAAGGAAGACGTTAATAGACTTTGCAGGAAAAAAATTCTCAGGAGAGATCCTAATCAAGGAACTTGCATACACTGAAGGCCCATTGACAAAGAACTCTTGCTTAACTCCACATATTATTGCAACAACTATAGGTTTTGTTTTTTTGTTTTCTCTCTCTAGGTTCTAGTCTCCTAGATGGAAGTCCTAAAATTGGAGTTTGCCTGAAATTTAATATCAGGCAGGTTGAGATGGCAGGGGCTAAGACTTGGGGAAAGGAAGAAAATCACATCATGGGGCACCTCTGAAGCTATTTATATGTTCCACATTTACCACTTCATGAAGATAATAAGGCTGTAAGTCTGCATTTCCCTTCATCAATAGGATAATATGCTTAGTTGCGATGTACTCAGTTTTCCCCAACTTTAAAATTGTCCACATTGACTTAGGCAATGTCTCAAGATGCTTTTTCCCAATCATCTTTGTAGGAAACCTCTGCTTTGTCTAAACACATCTATTTTCAGTTTTCCCAAATATTTTAGACCAATATTCTAGGTTAGAGGTCCTGAACCTTTAACAGATATGAAAGAGCTTGAAGAATTTATTAAAACACAAATTGCTGGATCCTATCCCTTAGAATTTCTGGTTCAAGAGGTATGAAGAAAGTCTTCAGAATTTGCATTGTTTCATTGGACCATACTTAGGATAGTAAGGTTCTAAACTTTTCCTATGAATGTTTCTTCTCAGGTGGTTATGTCTGCTGAGAGCAGTACTCTCCCTTTTCCCTGCTATCCTTTTAAAAAATTCTAACCTCTTCTATCCTTCACAAGCCATTTCACCAATACCCAACATAGCCTATCCTTATTTCCTCACACCAAATAGATCCTCTCTCTTGCATGAAACACTAAGCCTCCATAGAATTTTTTCTGTCTGTAATGTTTATCATCTCCTTTACTATGAGTAGTAGCAGAATTATTTGTGTTCAAGATTATTTTTCCTGTAAGACTTCAGTTATTCATATATATGTCAGACAAGCATTTTTTGGGGCACCTGTTTCTCTTTTTTATATGTTCCCTTAACACGTCTACCTGGTTACTTAATCATATATCATTCTCACCAGTATAATATGCTCAGTAACCAGCAGGAGAATTGTCACATAGTAGGTGATCAATACATACATACATCATTTTATTGAATCAGACATTGTTTTATTAGTGCCACATTCACACATATCAAGATCCTGCATCCTCATCCTAACGTATTCAAAAGTCCTAGTCCTTTTTCCAAATAAAATATCTCAGGATCTACAACCTTCCTCAGACCTGGGATTTATGGAAGACCTTGAAAATCCCTCTGCGTATCTCTTTGGTCTTCACACTGTAGATAATGGGGTTGAGCATGGGGGGTACAAATAGGTAGACATTGGACATCATGACATGAACAACAGGGGGTGCCTGTTTCCAGAAACGGTGGATCATGGAGACAGCAATTATGGGCATATAAAAGGCCAACACAGCACAGATGTGTGACATACAGGTATTGAGTGCCTTGAGACGTTGCTCCTGGGATGCGATGGCCAGCACAGTTCTCAGGATCAATGCATAGGAAAGCAGGATGAAAGTTGCGTCCACACCGTAGGTGAAAATGACTACAATGAGTCCATAGATATTGTTAACATGGATGTCTCCACATGCCACTTTCATGAGATCTGGATGGAGGCAGTAGGAGTGATGCAAAACATTGCCTTTGCAGAAGGGCAGTCGTTTCACCAAAAAGGGGAAAGGAAAGAGAGTGGTGAAACTCTTGGTAAAGATACCCAAGCCCATAGCCAAGATGCGATTGTTGGTGAGCACAGTGGCATAGTGTAGTGGGTCACAAATAGCCACAAAACGATCAAAGCTCATGGCCAGCAGTATGCCTGATTCCATAAAAGAGAAAATGTGGATGAAGAACATCTGAACTAGGCAGGCATCAAAGCCAACATAGCGGTAGTTGAAGCAGAAGGTAGCAAGCACAGTGGGGAGTGTAGAAAGGGACACACCCAGATCATTGAGAGAGAGCATAGAGAGGAAGTAGTACATGGGCTGGTGCAGAGCAGGCTCCCGAAACACCAGAGCGAGGATGCTGAGGTTGCCTATGATGGAGATCAGGTAGAGGTTGCAGAAAATCAGGGCAACCCAGGCTAGGCCTGTTTGCATCCCAGGAATGCCTGTCAGTTGGAGTGTTGCTGGTTGGAAGGGGGTGCCATTGAAGCCAGGCATGGCAGGCTAGTGAAAGAATACTGATGGACAAAGGATCCAAGGGGTCTGTGTTGGGGGAGTTCTCCACTTTCTTTCAGATATCCTGTCCGCTACAAAAGGTCAGAGATTGAAAATGTTTGCCAGTGTTCCTGTCTCTCCAGTTAGACTCTGAGCTTTCTGAGGAAGCAACTGTATTTTACTCATTTTTGTACCACTTGGGTCCTGCACACTGTATAGGCATAGTAGAAACTCTGTCGTCTGATGATCAAATGAGTGCCTATAACATGGTGGGAAACAGCAAAAACAAAGTCTCTAATCACCATTCCAGACTGCAGTATCCCTTCACTTCCTCATTTTACCGCAGAAGTCATATTCTGGGAATTCAGGAGGGAAATAGAATTTAAGATAAACCAGGAAGAGAAAACACTACCAAGCCCTTTGGGCACTCCGTCAGATAGCAGATAGGGAACACTATTGCTGTAAAATTACAGCTTTAATTACTTTTAGTCAGACTTCACCTCGGCTTTCCAATCCCAAAGGCTGCACCTGAGTTTGTCATTGCCAAAAATTCTTCCACCTCTGAAATCTTTCATTTCCATTTTTCCACATTTTGACATAGGCCTTCCAGGTTTTCCATCTCATAACCATGTATTTGCTCTCAAGTCTCCAAAATTCCTACATTTTCTTCTGGTCTATCTGTCTATTAACTCTTCCTTCATTTTTTTTCCTGAACTATTCCCCAGTAAGACTGATATCTTAATCTCCCCTTTGGCTTTATTTCATGGCAAATTTCACATGGCAAATTTCAACTTTTGGTAAGTTATGTAATCAAAACAGGTATGCAACTGGATAAAATCAAAGAAACAAACATGTTATTGAATTTATTTAAATGACAGAATTATCACTGCCTAAAGTTTAAACCTGTTGACACCTTTATCCATTCTTTTTTTGTGTGTGTGTGTTGAGAGTCTCACTATGTCGCCCAGACTAGAGTGCAGTGGCCGCTCCTGGCCACCTCAACCTCACCTGCTGGGCTCCGGCGATCCTTCCGCCTCAGCCTTCCGAGTAGCTGGAATTACAGGCATACGCTACCACGCCCAGCTGATTTTTTTATTTATTGAAGAGATGAGGTCTCGCTGCCAAGGTGGGTCTCGAACCCGTGGGCTCAGGCAATCCACTCACGTCAGCCTCCCAAAGGCATGGGATTACAGGCTGAGCCACAGAACCCGGCCTTTATCCATTCTTAATCCCTGTTTTCAAGAAAGCAGATTATTTTCCATCTCCAAGGACAGGTCTCCCACTTTCAAAATTCCATTTCTTCTCACCTCCTTCATAGACTTTTAAAAATTAATCCATTGTATCTTCAATTCTACTCTTTCTAACCCTTTCCCTTTAGCCAATTAACATACACAAGATCACCCCATCATATAAACATGATAACCTTCTTCTCTAGTTACTACTGTAAGACATTTTCCCAATTCTTATCAAATTTCTTGAAACCTTGTCTTTCCAGATGTCGAGAACTTGGAGATTTTAATTTATTTAGTTATGAGTCTACTTCTCCAACTTGGTTCTGAAATATTAAATGTACAAGAGTCAACCTATTGACTCTACCTTCTATCACTGCTTATTTCATTATAGTTTGGCTTCCACACACTCCCTATGGTCACCAAGTGACCTCTTTGTCTCTCTAAAACAAAAACAACAACAAAACTCTCTCCTAATTCACTTGGCCTCTCTGCCCAAATTAATTCTATAGGTAACTCACCATTTTAGAACTGCCTTCAAGAGATTTTCTAGAGAGCCGGGGGGAACAAAAGAACCCCTTCCTTCAAATGTGCCATTTCTCCACAATTTTATTACTATCTTGGCTGCTTCTTCTCTGCCTTCCCTACTGAATTTCTTTTGCTGACTTTGTTTTACAACAATATCAGTCAATTCCAGGCAAAATAAACAACATTCAGAAAGGTGAATACTGAAAAACCACATCATAAAAAAACCTCACCTTATTCTTTATTCAAATAGCTCTTCAACTGTATATTCATGGTATTTGGTATCTTAAAATAAAAGCTTCATGCTGGGATTTAGGCAAAATGGTTTTCTTTATTACTTTGTTCTTTCTAGAGTTCTCATTCTATGCCCAGCAGTACTGGTAAATACAGTGAAATTAGAAGGTAACAAGAGGCTGGATAATGCCTGCATATCAGTAATAATCCCAAAAGTATAGAGGAATGAGAACAAATTTATTTATTCCTTTGATTTCTCTCTTCCAACTGAGAAGTCAAAGCAACCATTTAATCAGCAAGAATCCTTGTGTCTTACTCTCCTCTCTAAACCTCTCCCTTCCTTTCAACCTAGCTCTAAAGTCAATGTCTCTAAGGGCCAGACTTGGTGACTCAAGCCTGTAATCCCAGCACTTTTGGAGGCTCAGGTGAGGGGATTGTCTGAGGTCATGGGTTCGAGAACAGCCTGGGCAAATTGGTGAGACCTCATCTCTACAATAATAAAAAAAAAAGTTAGCCAGGTATGGTAGTCCACACCTGTAGTTCCAGCTCCTTGGAAGACTGAGGCGGAAGGATCACCTGAGCCCAACAGGTCAACACTGGGGTGGCCATGAGCATGCCACTGCACTCCAGCCTGGGCAACAGAGTGAGACTCCAACTCAAAATAAATAAATAAATAAAAATAAAGCCAATGTCTCCAAGAAATCTTTTGAGATCCAACTTATGAAGATCTGCTGTTTTTTCTTTGTTTTTTATTGTCACTCCAGGCTTGTCTCTGAGTCCTAAAGAACTGGGAAGACTTCGGGCAACACCAACAGATAATAAGACCCTTCTACAAGATATGTTTACCTCACTGTTTGTAACCCAGGCATACAACCTGGGTAACCCAGAAGGGTAATATTTCATCTACGCTCCAGATTTTCTTCAGTCTGGAAATCAACTTTTAAAACGTCTCCCTTATAAAAAACAATGTCCCCCAGCTACTTAATAGCTATTGTTTTCTTTTCTTTATCCATGTGGGTGTCAATGTGACCAATCTTGTAAGAATGGTCCTTCCTAAATGTGACCAATCTTGTAAGAAAGGCCAAAAACACATAGACAGACACAAGCAGTTCACAGTTTATGCCTGACATGCATACACACATGGCCACTCAAGATTACCAGGAAATGTACATTTTTACACTCTTACACACTTATAAGTTCCAAGTATTTATAGGCACTAGTCACATCCACACCTACACAGAAACTATCATATACTCCCTTGCTCATACAAAACACTGTCATACCACAGAACTTGAGAAGACTCATACCTATTCGTTGGCATTAAACAATATATTTCAATTATTCTCTCATGTTTAAACCCTCCTAAACATATATTTATAGAAGTCTGCACACAGACACAAATGGTGTCAAAAATACATACTTCAGCAATAAAAAATCCACAGTAATATCATCACCAATTATATTCCCATGACATGCACAATTCTGAAAATCCAGCTAAGACTGAAAAACACATTTTTTACCGACGTCAGTTCATTTGGTTCTGTGATCTTCTTATCTAGCTGAATACCCAAAAACTAGGTATAGAAAACAATAATTCAAATTGTAGGATTTTAAACGCATATAAAATACCCTCAAGACAAAGATCTATAAATGATGGATCAGCCCATAAACCTGATGGTTTATGGTTTGGTGTTATGGTTGTAATTCAGATGAAAACCTGACATCAGGGGTCTGTGATACTAGACTTTGGATGAAGTCAGATTTGGCTCACACTTGGAGGGTAGATATAAGCATCAGAATTTGCTTGGAGTTTCAATAGATTTGTTAAAATTTGAACCAGGTCTATATGAGGAAAACAGGTGGGCAGTTCGAAGAAAGGGACACTCACTGGTTGGAAAACGCTGTCCTTGCAGCCAGATCTAATGTGCTGCAGATCCAACTAGCAAAGTGACATCAGCTTATTCTGCTCTGACTTATACACTTATGAATACCCCAGAATCCCAGGGATTATAAGTGTGTGGTGGTGGAGTGGTGAAAACAATTGGGAGGGTGATGTTCATGAATAGTGATCTAAGCCATAAGAAAATTGCTCCCAAAAGAATCTCATTCTTGGTCCCATCATCCCCGATGTCATCATCCATACCCATTAGTATGATAATTCTTCCTTTCTCAAGGAATGCAAACACACTGCATGAATGTGTGCACACAAACATACATAATCATAGACATCCTGAGACCCTCACAAATATACCCTTAGATATATTTATCTGTTTACCTGATAATATTCACATTGCTTCTTTCAAATTCACACACATAAAGACAAACATAAATATGCTCAGGCAAATGCCCAATGTTCTAGTCACCAATAATATCCTATAATCTATATATCCCTTCACTGATTGCAGAAACTAATTTAAATTATAGACATAGTTTTATAAATAGACAAATAGAGAACTCTACACATACTTGAAGAAATACTCAAATATGTTTAAAATATGTTCCTCTGCTTACATATATTATATATTTCAAACACATATCTACATTCATGTTAACAGGTTCCAAAATAACTAACAATTCCAGATCCCCACATTTACTCACAAATTTACATATAAAATTTGAATGTGGAAAAACATATTCTTGAGCAATATTTTTGCTCTAGTTATTTTTCTCAGCATTGATGGTACATAGAACAATAGACACAGCACTTATTTTTTCAAGGAAGATATTGAAAAACTAATCCACATACTAGACCAGATAAATATGCCTCCAAACGCTATCTAGAAATATGTCATAAATGTACTTCGCAACAAAGTCAATGCATTTGTCAACATGTATCTAATGTGCATATGAAAGATGTGCATTATATGTTTGAAAAAAAATCAAAGAACTATACAAAATATTGAAATCTAAATAATAATATAAATGCTGAAATAGTTATGAAGAAGTATATGAAAGTTACAACATACTTTGAAATGAATCAAAAAGATAGGATGGACTGATGGATGGACAGAAAGATGAATGCATAAGTATGTGTATCAGAAATCAAGCATAAT